TAATGCAAGACATTTTTAGTCAGACGGAATTATATTTTTGACACTTTTATTTAATTGTTCTGCCTGAAAAAAATGATTTCTACTATTGAAATCTACAAAAATTTAAAAAAAACTTTGTCTGACTAAAGAAACTTTCACTACTAAGAATAAAATCACAATGTGAAATTTTCGTATGACTGAAAACATAACTATTTTTCACTACTTAATAAAGAAATTTTTTTTTTAATTTTTTGCCTGACTGTGTGGTTACTCTATTCTTTTTTAAATTCCAAAATAAACAAAAGAATTCGAAACTATTCGTCTGACTGAAAACACTTTTCACTACTTAGTCCAAAATTCGAAGAAATTATAATAAATAACAAATCGAGAAAATTGAATCTAATTGTAATTCATTTTTTCCACTTAAATATAAATTATAAAAATTTATAACTATTTGTTTGACCAGAGTTAACTTTTACTACTGAAAACTACAAAATCTGCAAAATTATTAATACCTACTGAATCTGCAAGAATAATCTGCAAGAATTGCAAACATTTTTGTCTGGCGAAAATCGACTTTTTTTACTTGTATCAACATTTTCGAACTTAACGTCTGACTAAAAATCTTTTTTATCACTTATTTCAAAAAAAATTATAGTAATTTTCATTTTCAACTAACTTTCTTAACAATAAAAATAAATTTCCAAGAATTCTAATTACTTTGTTTGAGCAAATTTGATTTTTACTACTGCAATTTAGAAAATTTTTAAATTTATCACTGTCTGAAAAAATAAACTTTTACTACTGATTATAAAAATTTACAAGAAACGAATACATTTCAGCTGACAATTCACTTTTTTCTGTGAGTATTAATTATTAAAATTACTGTCAATTAACCTTTTTTTAATTTTCAATTAGTAATTAGTCAAGACTATGTTTATTTTATAAATTTAATTTAATTGCAACCAATATATATGTTAGGCTCAAAAGCCGAAAACGGCCAATGGCCGGAAAAAACAGCCAAACCTAGTTTTGGCAAGTGCAATTTTGCCAAAACTAGGTTTGGACGTTTCACTTCGGCCATTGGCCGTTTTAAATTGACAAAAATAGTTTTGGCAAATCGACATTTGCCAAAACTAGGTTTGGACGTTTCATTTCGGCCATTGGCTGTTTTAAATTGACAAAACTAGTTTTGGCAATTTGACTTTTGCCAAAACTAGTTTTGTCAATTTGACATTTGACAAAACTAGGTGAGGCATTTCAAATTGTGAGAAAGACCGCTTCGTTATACAATAGGAATATATTTATTTAAAAATGTGTCATTGATTAATACTATTTACAATAAGATGAAATTTCTCTAACAAAAATCCATTGATATTTTGCACATAAAAGTTAATGAAAAAAACTTTTTTAACACTTATTTATTTTTACACAGACTAATTTATCTTTACACAGGCTAATTTACCTTGTTGACGATTTCTTATTTCATACACACAATTATTCAATACAGAAACAATATGTGACCTGGTCTATGAAAAGGGACCTTACGTGCGAAAACAAGTTTTCGAGAAAACAGCAGTTAAAGTTTAACTTAGAAAAACCCTTGTAACTTTTTTTAATATTAATATTTTTTTATCAAGTTAGGCTTATTTTCTTTACCGTGGATTACAGTATCAAAATAAAAAACATACAAGTAATGACAAACATTTTTTAATAATTGTTTATATAAATTAATAACAAACTCCCCAAACATAGAAAAAATAATCTAAGTTTTCAAAATAGCAACAATAAGTACATGCTAATTCTAAACAAATTTCCTATTAATACGGCGGTCTTTCTTTTTCTATTCTTTCTTTCTTTCAATTTCTCACAATTTGAAATGCCTCACCTAGTTTTGCCAAATGTCAAATTGACAAAACCAGTTTTGGCAAATGACAAATTGACAAAACTAGTTTTGGCAAAATTTAAATTGACAAAACTAGTTTTGGACAAATTTAAATTGCCAAAACTAGTTTTGGCAAATGTCGATTTGCCAAAACTAGATTTGTCAATTTAAAACGGCCAATGGCCGAAGTGAAACGTCCAAACCTAGTTTTGGCAAAACTGCACTTGCCAAAACTAGGTTTGGCTGTTTTTTCCGGCCATTGGCCGTTTTCGGCTTTTGAGCCTAACATATATTCTAAATTAACAATTTTTCAAGCAAATATAACAGACTGGAACTTATATCGAAAAGCAAATGCACTAAATAAATATTTATTTTCCCAGCAAAGCTAGAAAACGATATTTTGACAAATATTTACTTCTCCAAGGGTAGAATTTCATTCTTGGTACTGCATATTTACAATTTCGTGGAAAATTGAAAACTTGTCAATGTCGATTAAAAAAAAAAATATGCCAAAAAACCTTTTGAAAAATCATCACATTTTTTTGGTTTTGGGAGAAAAAAAATAAAAATTTGTCTTTTCAAACAAATTTCGTTTTTTTTTAAATGTATTTTAAGGAAATTCTACTTTTTAAAGAAAGTGTTTTACAAAAATACAATTTTTCCTTTTTGCTATAATGTATTTTAACAAAATTCAACTTTTTAAAGAAAGTATTTTATAAAAATTATGCACTAACAATTTTTCCTTTTTACTGTAATGTATTTTAACAAAATTCTACTTTTTTAAGAAAGTATTTTATCAAAATTTTGCTCTTTAAAAAAATGATTCAAAAAATAGTTTAAAAAAATTTTAATTAACTATTTTACCCACAACAATAGAATAAGATATAATTTTCTAAAATTTGAAAAATTTGGAATATTTTGAAAATTTAGATTGGAATGAGGAAGATGTTTGTTTTTCAGAACATTCAATGACTTCATTCTTCAGGACACTTTACGATAATGATCAAAGTCTGATTGTCTGAAACTATTAACTGCCACGGAGGGTGGCGCTTACGGTTAAAACTTTCGATCTAAAGACAGGAGAAGAAAGAAGAGAGGGGGAAGAGTGCGATGGGATAGATTAGACAGACGTTACCATCAATCTATACGTCGAAATCTTTAAAGTTCAATAAATGTAATGTTGGCCGAGTTGCGGAACTAAAAAACTTTTTCCGCGAATAACGGCAGTAAAATCATTCATTCTTGCGCTCTTAAATCGTCAAAAAAAAAGAAAACTCCGTAATGTGTCCAAGCAAAACGTAATTTGCTTGAAACTTTTGCCTTTTTAATTGCCCTCCACGAATAACATTTTTAATCCGAATAAGCAAAATTTCAATTATTTAAATGTTGTAAAAAAAGGTTGTAAACATTTTTTTGATTTTTTATTTTTATCTGATTTTTTATCAATTATCAATTATCAATGATCAATTATCAATTTAGCTAGTTATTTATTACACTTCTTTTCTTTATTTTATTTATCCTATTTATTTATTTATTTTACTTGTTTTCTCCATTTTATATTCTGAATTTGAATATTAGACGAAATTTACAAATAAATCCTAATCCAAAAATAATTTTAAGGAAATTTTAAACCCTATGCCTAATTATAATTTTTTATCAGTGAAGTTTTGTCTGGTTGTAACTGACTTTTACTACAACCACCATTATGTTAAAAAAATAAACTACAAACAATATACGTATTATGTCTGATCATAATTTTTTTTTACTACTAATAAAAACAAGAAATTGTCTTTGTCGAAACGAAATTTTCCATTACATTATTTATACTAAGAAGAGTTTAATTATATTTATACTTAAAAAAATTAATGTTTATATTAAAAAATATTTTTTGAAATAATAAAAATTTTTTAAATTGTTTTCATTAAAAATAATCTAATATTCACTAAAAAAAAAACTAATACTAATTTAAATAATCGATTACTATATAATATCAAATAAATATTTACTTGACTCAAATAATTTTAATTTACAATTCAATTCGAAACAAAAATTCCAGTATTTAAATGATTTAATTTAGTAAATTTAATTTATTTGTTTAACTGAAATTTTATTGGAATAAATAAATAAAAACAATAAAAATAAAATAATAAATAAAAATTGTTTGGCAAAAATAAATTTTTTTTTGATAATAGACAAACAATCGTTTATCAGAATTAAATACAGTTTTTTCAGAGCAATATTTTTAAAATGTATATAGATAAAAATAAATAGAATAAAATAACTTTTATTACAAAATATAAATTTTTTTCAGTGCAATTTATAAAATACAGATAAATAAAATGAATAAAATAAATAAATAGAATAAAATAACTTATTTACGAAAAATAAATTTTGTTCTGATGCCATTTATAAAATAAAGGGTGAACAAAATGAATAAAATAAAGAAATAGAATAAAATTACTTTTTTTACAGAAAACAAATAATCTAACAAACTAAAAGTGTTTATCGTTTATAAATTCAAAATTGATTAAAATTTCACAAAACAAATTGAGCGACAGCGGTAATAAATGTGTAAATTGTGTCTGAATGCAAATATTATATAATATTAATCGTTCACTTACATATATTTATAATTTCTTTCATTTTTAATTATCACCATTGAAAACAAGATAAAATGAATGTTACCTTTAAATGATAATTTAAAAGAGGATTTATGTAGTTAGATTGTATTCAAAAATAAACTGAACTTTATTTGTCTCAACTCTAACAACTCATTTGAAAAAAAACTTAATACAAAGCTTATTTAAAAAGCAGAATGGTAAAGCGGATGAAAAAGTTTCTCCGTTTACTCTTTATTATTTTACAGAATTACAAAAGGGGAAATATTTCATTTTCTATTTGAAACATTTTAATTATTTCCATATCAACTTGTTAATAATAAAAATGTAGACAGAAAATTTCTTTTTTACATTATTTTTGTATTTTTGTGAACGAAAAATTTGTTTTTTTTCAATTTCTACTAACGTGTAAAAAATTTTTTTTTTTCTCTCATATTTTTGTAATATAATATATTACAATTATTATAATATAAACAAAAAAAGGGGTAAATAATAAAATATAAATAATGAATTCCTACCTTGTACGATGATTCTCAATATAGTTTCCGGTGTTTTGCGGTTGTTTACAATACATTGGTAGTCGCCGCTGTCAGTCGATGCCACTGGATGGAAGAGTAGAGTGAAATTTTTCGGAAAAAACGAAACACGATCGCGATGATTTGAGACCGTTGTACTACTACTACTGTATTCGACTATTAACACACTATTCGCACGCCATTCCAATGTTGATATGAGAGACTGTTCCGTCACACCGGGACAATCTAATGTCACGTTTTTTCCCGCCTCGACAATGATGTCTCTTATCGGTGGATTCGTTACATCTGAAACAAGAAAAAAATTCATTTTATTATTATTATTATCATTACTAGCAATAATTCGCGAATTAGCAAATTTTAAAAATAATAAAATTTAAAAATTTGTAATTCAAATTTTTGTTGATAACACTAAAAAAAATCCGATTTTGGAAACATTACAAATAATTGCAGAAATTCAATTATTTTCAAGAATGATGAAATTCTTCTCATAAAATTCAATTATATTTCAAATTTAAAACAAAATTCTCTTCAAAATCCCAATTATCTTTATAAATAACAACATTCTTCCCCAAAGTTAAATTATTTTCAAATCAATTTCGAATTCCCAAAAATAGTACACAAACATTTCATTATTTTGATAAATAATGAAAATTTCTCAGGAATTTAATTATTTATTTTAAAAAATTCCTTTGCAATAATTCAATTACTTTCATTAAAAATTATATATTTTTCAAAGAATTCAATTATTTTCATAAAAAATAATATTGATTAAATATTTATTTAAAAAAAGTTATTGATGTTTTCGAATAATTTTACAATTAAAGAAATTCGTAAATAAATGTAATAGAACAATTTTTTGAGTAAAATTGTTTTTTCTTTATTTTCTAAAAATTTAAGAAGTTTCAATTTCATTTTCAATTAAAATTTGTAATTGACAAATAGAATAGCAAATTTTTTCTTCTGATAATTACTTCATCTAATGTCAGAAGACCTTTAAAAAAATTGCAAAAGGTTCCAGTCGAGGAAAGCAGTGATTTTTAATTTTTTTGTGTCACGATTTTCCAAAAATTTCGAAATTTGAACTTAATTAATAATTCTTCGTCTCGGTAGCAATTTTTTTCTTTTAATAACTGTTTATTTTAATATTAGACGATATTTAAAAAAGATTTCAAGATGATCCATGGAGGGGAAAACAGTGATTTTTAATTTTTTTGTCAAATTGAAATTTCTAAATTTTTGGAAAATTCGTGACACAAAAAAGTTTAAAATCTCTGCTTTCCTCGACTTGGAATATTTTTTTAATGACTTCTGACATGAAAATAAATAAATATCAAAGAAAAAAATTGTTTACCGAGGCGAGGAATTATTATAATTTACTTTAAAATTCTCGGTTTTTCGGAAAATCCGTGACAAAAAAACCAAAATAACTGTTTTTTTTGACTTGGAACCTTTTGAAATTTTTTGAAAACGGCTTCTGATATTAAAATAAGTAATTATGAAAAGAAAAAAAAATTGCTACCTGGACGAGGAATTATTAATTTAGTTGAAATTTCGAAATTTTTGGTAAATTCGTCGCACAAAAATATTCAAAAACACTGCTTTCCCCGACTTGGAATCACTTGGAATTTTTTTTAAATAGCTTGTGACATGAAAATAAATAATTATCAAAGAAAAAATTATTACCGAGGCGAGGAATTATTATTTTATTTCAAATTTAATTTACTTTAAAATTCTCGGATTTTTGGAAAATCCGTGACAAAAAAACCAAAATAATTATTTTTTCCGACTTGGAACCTTTTGAAATTTTTTTTAATGAGCTTCTGACATTAGAATAAATAATTATCAAAAGAAAAAAAATTGCTACCTGGGCGAAGAATTATTAATTTAATTGAAATTTCGTGATTTTTGGAAAATCCGTGAGAAAAAAATAAGAACTACTGTTTTCCCCCCACCTTTTTTTATTTTAGGGTTTGGAGGGTACAAATTTAGTATCAATTTTGGTACTTAATCGTAATTTGCTTCTATTTTAATACTTTTTACATTTTTTTACTTTTTACTTATGATGCTGAAGTCCTCAACGTTTTTAAAAACGAAAACGAAAAAATAATGGGACAATTTTTTTATTTTTGATTCTAAATCATATTATTTTTGAATAATTTTATCTTAAGCAACAATTAATTTCTTAAAAATTAAGGAACATGAAAATTAGAGATGAATTTAACTTGAAAAAAAATTCTTTTGTGATTTTTCGTTTTTAAAAACGTTGCGGACTTCAGCTTCATTTTTACTTAATATTTGCCAGTGCATTATTTTTATTATTGTTATTATTATTATCATTCTTACTGATATAATTATTTTTATCGCCACTACTATCATTAATTAAAACAAATTTGAAATTTTCCCAAATTAAATTTTGTAATGATATTTGAAATGAAAATATTTATTAAACACAAAAGGTATAGAGGGCAAGAGAGTGTAATTGAATAGAATACGAGATTTAAATGATGTGTGATTGATAATTATTAAATATCAAAATTTGTGTTTGCAAATCAAATTAAAATTGAGAATGAAAATAATTAATATTTGTAAAATTTGTGAAATGATGACAAATGTGAATGTAACGCGTTGAATCATTATCAGACTAATTAATCAACAAACCCTATGTGAGTTTTCAACAAAGTGCACACTGATTGATTGAAAATGTCACGATAGTATAATTACTTGTCAGTAGATACTTAATAGAGACAATGAGAAATAACTCTAATTACAGGACAACGTTAATACTCCTCATTATTTTCGAATTGTTTATCAGAGAAGTAACAGACGGACACACACAGTAGGAAATTCATGTTTCCAGATGTTGTTATTAATTCTATATTGATATAACAGATTTCTAACTATGTCTCTCTCTCTCTCTATCTCATTATATCTATATATTTATATCCATAGATATAGAGGAAAACTGTCATCAAAGTGTAACATATTAATTGTTATCGGCAATGAGAATCACAATAATAATAGAGTGAAGCGTACAAATTCGTATCATCCATTGAAATCAGTAACAATAAACTTTTCATGAATATGATTAACATTGAATTTTGCGAAACAAATGAAAAATATGTAAATAATCGATTGTAATACCATGAAAGGGAATTGTTAACAAAGCATAAAATCATTGTGGTGATTAAAATTGTTGGCTCACTTTATATAGGAACTACTCTGTAAATTTCGAAAATTTGTGTTTCATTTCATTACACAAAATACATATAACGGTGAATGGAATTAACAATGTACAATTCAAATTACAATTCAGAGAAAATTAATTCCAGAGATCTATCGAATGAAGAAAGAATAATAAAATTTCCAATCTCCAGTGTTTTATTTTTCAATTTTTTCTACAAACAGATTTCGCACTTGATAATTAATACTTTTTAAAAAAAAAATAACAAAAAGTAGCTTTAAGACTAAGAAAAGTGGTAAAAAGTAGACTATCGAAAAATTAAATTTAAAAAAAAAAAAAACTCGTTACAGTCGATTCACAAAAATTTGATTCAGTATTTCCCTGAGTTTTTCTTTGATTACTATCTAAAATATTTACTTTTTTCTCTCATCCTGGAAATAACTTCAATTCACACTTTTTCGAAAGTTCAATTATTTTCTAAATTTTTAGTTAGAATTCTCCAAAAATACGATTATGATTAAAAATAATTTTCAAGAGTAAAAAAATAAAATTCTGTACAATTTTTTTTATTTAAATTTAAACAAAACTTTCAACTAATTTCAAATTTAATTTAATCTTTTTTAATTATTTACAAGAATTAAACTAACTTCAAAACATTTTAATTACAATTTTTCAAAAGACTAATAATTTTTTCATAATTTCTAAATTAAATTATTAAAAACTTGAATATATTTTGTTAAATATGTTTTTAAATTTTTATTATTCGACAGGAATTAATACTTTAAATAATTTCAATGTAAAACCTTTTTGAAATTTAATTCTTTCGAATTACAACTGTAATTTTTTCAAAATTCAATCATTTTTTTTTAAATTTTTAAATAAAATTATTGAAAAATTTAATAGTTATTTTGGAAAATAATAAATGATTAATCTTTGTATGATAAATATTTAAATATTATGACAGTTTTTATTTATTTATTTATTTCATTTAAACGGGTTTACAAAGAAAGTTTAGCTTTACAACTAAAATTTTCAAAAACAGCCAATTTAAAAATCTTTTATGAAATTGAACTATTTTTAAAAATTCATATTATAACGCTTCTAATGTTCAATTGTTATCTACAATTTTATTTGAAATTTATTTTTAAATCAATTCTTGTTAGAAATTTCTACGAGAATTCAATTATTTAAAAACAAATATAAATAATTGATTGCACAATTATTGTTTATTTTTTAAAATTGAATTTTTATAAACTACTTTATCAAAATTGTAAACAATAATTGAATTCTTCCAAAGAATTTTAATAGAATTTGTAAGAATAATTACATTTTTCAAGAAATTAATTCGCAATTGTATTAAAAGTAATTGAAATACATCGTAGAATTTTATTATCTATGAAAATAATTGGATTCTTGCAAAGAATTTCATTGAATTTTTTTAAATAATTGAATTCCTGTGAAAAATTTTATTACTTCTGAAAATAATAGAATGCTTGCAAAGAATTTTATTTAATTTTTTAAAATTAATTGAATTTTATTTGAAGAATTTTTTATTAAGAATTTTGAAAGTAATTATATTCTTTTAAGGAAAATAATTACAATTGATGCATTGAAAATGAATTCTTATAAACAAATTTTATCAAAATTATTAAAAATAGTTTTCTTTTATTAATTTATTTATTTACAATGTCCCCGTGGTCAAAAGACCAATAATGGGTTAAATTCTTTTAGACAATTTTATAAAAAACTTTTTCAATAATCATTTTTGTTCAAAAATATTTATGAAAATTGTATTTTAAGTAATTGAATTTTTGTGAAAATGTTAGTATTTTGAAAACAATTGGAATTTTTTAAAAAATTCTTTGCAAAAACCAAAAAAAAAACAGAAAAGAATTTTTATTTAAAATAGTAAATATTGAAAATTATTGAATTTCATCATAGAATTTTATTATTTGTGTAAATAACTGAATACTTGAGAAAAATTTTCTTAAAATTTTTGAAAATATTTGAATCTTTTCAAGGAATTTTATTGAACATTTTTTGAAGTGTTTCTAAAATACATTGTTGATATTTCAATTTTTGAGAATAATTTTTTTATTTTAAT